GAGGGAAAGGAGGGAGAGCAAATGGAAAGCAAATCACTGAAAACAAGTCAATATGTAATTAGTGCAGTCTGTGGGGGGGGGCGGGCAAAAAAGGAAATAAAAAGAAAATACACAAGCAATCAAGCCCATATTTTCCAAATGACACAATTTAAAAAAAAAAAAAAAAAAAAGTGTGTGTATGGCCTGACATACAAATGTCATTTAGAGCTGACGGCTCAGAGCAAAGGAAATGTGTATTCAAACAGTGATGTTTCATTTATTTATTTATTTTTCTTGCTGTCAACAGGTGTTGGAATGAACCGGTCCAGCTGGGATAAAAAAGCCCCTAAGCCTCCAGTCACCAGGATGACCCGCAGCTCCAGCTCCCAGGCCAGGCACACAGTCCCGGCAGAGACCCAGGACTCTGGACCTGGTCCGTATGGCAAACTACGAAAGAAGCAGACGGGCTCTGCTCTGGCCCAGGACCTCAGTCAGATGAGTGTGAGCGGGCAGGACGGTTTACCTATAAGGTGAGAACATATTACAGTAACTTTTAAAAAAAGATAAATGATTAGGAAAAGCAAACATTACAGGACACACTTCAAGTACACATTTGTACATACAGGAAACAAAACAAAGGCATCCCAGGTACAAATCTGCTGGTCAGAGTGGAAGCAGCAATATATTAAAGTGGTCCAAGATTTGTGAATAAACCTGCTATAATGCTGCTAGCATTATATGACTGACAATCCGTAATATTGTACCGTTCTTTATAGAATCCCTAATTTCCCTAAAGTGTCTGAAAAATCCTGTTTGGGGACATTATGTCTTCTGGTTATACATTAACTAATCTAACGTTGGGGATCGTCCCATATAATCAGGAGTTTTTCATGTCTTTCCTTGGCATGATCTCCAGTAATGGAAAGATGTCCAAAGGCACGAGTGACCCTGTGCAGGCTGATCAGTCCTCTGGGTCCAGATCTGATGAGCACAGTCTGTCTGCGTGTGCTGCCAAGTCATCATCCCGGGGCGGTCTGGCCTCTGTGGCTCGGCTGGTGAAGCTCGGCCGCTGTAAGAATGTGGTGGTGGTGGCCGGAGCAGGAATCAGCACAGCCAGCGGCATCCCAGACTTCAGGTTGGTGTCGCTCTTCATCTATTGACTATTACAAGTCTTGTTCAGTTCCACTCTAAACCTTAAGAACAGATCGGCTCTGGTTTCCTTGGGTGAGTGTTTCCTAAAAAGATATTTAACCCTTGGAAAATTTATGAGCAAGACACTGTTAGCTGTCCTTTAGTACACATTTCAAAATCTGTACATTTTCAGAACTCCAGGAACAGGTCTTTACGCCAATTTGGAGAAGTACAACATCCCTTACCCAGAAGCTATTTTCAACATCGACTACTTCTCAAACGACCCGCAGCCTTTCTTCTCCCTAGCCAAGGCTCTGTATCCCGGCAGCCACCGACCCAACTACATACACTACTTCATCCGGATGCTTCATCACAAAGGCCTGCTGCTCCGAATGTACACCCAGAACATTGACGGGCTGGAGAAATGTGAGTGGCATCTTTAAAAGGAACAAAAAACTGCCAGAAATAGATCTTTAAATTAAACTGTGGGCAAGCTGAATACATACCCATCATTTCATACATTAAATGTAAACCGAAATTAAAATGATTATGGTCACTGAAGACATTTGCTTATTTGTTTTTACTTTATTTATTTATCAGGGACAACGTACATTAATTACCATTAACATACAAGGGAGATTAATTTATCATTTCACAACACAGGTTGTTTAACGAGATTATGTTGCAGTTTTCTTTTATAATACAATAACAAACATTATATACAAAAACGATAAGCACAAGATGGTGGATAAATAATAAGTCCTAGATATACACGGTGGAGTACTTCTGTATCTCTTGCCAGACGAAAGCAGAGTGAACAGGCTGTGGCAGGGTGGTTACTGTCCTTTGGTTTATACTTTGGGCTCTGAGTAGGCATCTCACCTCACTGATATCATTGACGCTCAGGAGATGGGTACCAACCTGCTGCAGAGCCCTTCAGTCCTGGGCTGTGCACATCCTATGCCAGTTAGTGATGTTTCCAGTCAGGAGGCTTTCTATTGCTCCTCTGCAAATGTTAACAACAACCTGGCACGGGAATTCAACCTTCTTAAGTTTCCTAAAGAAATGCAGCCGTTTCTTCACCAAGGTAGAGATGTTATGATGTGATGCTTATTCCCAGTTCAGCTCCACTGAGGTGGAATCCACAAACAGCATGCTGATGTAGGTGTTGTTGTTTGCCATTCTTCTGGAGGTGGAAAGACTTTACAGCTGCCTCAGTGTTGAGGAGATCAAGGCAAGCATAAAATGTGTTTATCTGGTAATGTGGCCTCACACATGATGCTCCTGCTTTTGTAGGCTGTGCTGTTTTTGATCGCCTGCCACGTATCTTTGGTGTTGAGGTCTCTCTCCAGTCTCTGCTGATATCTCCGTCTCGCCTCCTTGATGCCAGCTTTAAGTCTCACTCTGATGGTGCTGTATGCTCGCTTGACAGCTGACCGAAAAGCAGCCTTTTTGGCTCTGGGTAGAGCCCTCGCCTTTCCATTCTTCATGGCTTTCTGGTTAGGGAGTGATTTTAATGTCTTTATGATCACCGCATCAACACATATGCTGTTTTATGATGTCACTGATGTATATTCCTCAAGACTGATGTGGTGACCTCTGAACATGTGCCAATCTGTGCACTTTACACTTAATGTATGTGATATAAAAAAAGATCTGCAGTCCAGAATTGATGTCGTCATTTGCTCTTAATGTCCGTCTTAATATGGAATAACTTTCTTCACAGTGTGTGGCATTCCAGATGACAAACTTGTGGAGGCTCACGGTAGTTTTGCTACAGCTTCCTGTCACCTGTGCTACACTGCGTACCCTGCTGAGGAGGCTAAGGTACAGCCGACCCCATGGTGAACAAACATTCAAATTTAACAGTTCACTGCATTTGATGCCACAGTAATGCTTCCTTATTTCACAGCATGCTATAATGAATGACAACGTCCCCATATGCACCTTCTGCGCTGCAACAGTCAAACCTGATGTTGTGTTTTTTGGAGAGGACCTTCCTCAGAAGTATTTCCTCCACACTAAAGACTTCCCCAAAGCGGACCTGCTGATTATAATGGGCACGTCTTTACAGGTACATTTTTTTTTTTATACGGTATCTGTATTCAGTCCTTTAAATGGGTTTCTAGTACATTTTATGAGTTCTCACATTTTCTGAGCTCAGTTATATCTGAACAAAAATTAATTGTTTCAGATCGAGCCATTTGCCAGCCTTGTGAACACTGTGCGCTCCACTGTTCCACGTCTCCTCCTGAACCGACACGCTGTGGGTCCCTTTGAGAAGGTCCCACGGCGAAGAGGAGACCACATGGAGCTGGGTGATCTGGAGGATACAGTACGGAGGTTTGCAGAGATTCTCGGCTGGAGCGATGAGATTGAAGAGCTGATGGGGAGTCAGGAAACACTGGTGGGTTCATAAGCACTAGACCTTTAAAGAACTTCTTCGGGTTTTGCACGTCTGTTTGGGTTCTTTATTAAACCTAGTGATAATATTAATATAATCCCAAGCCAGTGGAGATAGTTAAGAACTTAAAAAGAGCACTCCACTGATTTTCTGTTGTGCCCCTTTAACTTTGTCAGATTGAAGAACCAGACATATTGGCTGTGTCCAAAATCATCAATTCTCACTATATAGTGGACTATATAGTGAGCTCGCCATTTTATAGTGCTGTCCGAATGTTTAGTGAGAATTATACCATTTATAATGGACTTAAAGTATCCCAGAATGCATTTTGAAAAGTAGTGTACAACCGATGGTCACTAACCAAGCCCCATATACCATCATGCATTGCGCTGAACAGTCCAACTGATTGTCCGACGGCAATAAGATAATTAACGGTGCCGGAATAATGATAAGAGTAGTGTCCGACAGTGTTGTTTTCATTATGTGAGCTCACTTTATAGGGAGTACAGAGTAGTTAGTGAATGGTGATTTCAGACACAGCCATTGGCCTTTTTTAAAAACATTTTTTATTCCACACAATTATTCTTCCTTGTCAAAACCTGGCACTTATGTTACCCATAATGCAACCCAACAAGTGACATCACTTGAGGCAATCTATCAGATTTTGTGCAGCTTCTTCTGGAGTCAAGGCTTTATACAATTTTATTTCACATATACGGTAGAACTTCGCAACAGACTTTGATGGGTAAACTGTCTCTAACACTTAGGCTGACTATGGCTATGATTTCCCTCTCTGCAGAGCATCCCTACATTAATAAGCAACCCTCTGTCGGTTAGTGTTCAGACACCTTGCCAGAACAGAGGAGCTTCAGAGCCTCCAGGTAGGATGGAGACGTCCAGACCAGGAGCTCAAAGAGTAGCCAGCAGCGGCAGCGAGGAGACTGACTCGGAGACGGACAGCAAGAGCTCTGCATCATCCAATCTGAGCAACTGAGTCTGTACATTTCATAAACGATGGCACTGGAAAGGTTTGAGTTTCTACTCTCCTTATTTCGCACTAAGACTGTTCTCCTGTTAACTGTATACATGTTACTGTTTATCTGGTAAAGTTCTGGTAGTGGCAAAATGTTTTTTGTTCTTATTACCTCTTCATCTGAGAATCAAGTGTGTCATGTTTATATGTAAATCAAAAAATCATATCTAATACAGTTTATCAACCTTCAACAAACATTGAAAGCACTTATTATCGAGGGAGGATCCATCTAGAACACTAGTAAATAAATGAGCCATGTAACAAAAATCGTTTTATACGTCTCATGTCAGTAAACTTGTTAATGTTGTTTTATATCGGCACGACACTGTATCTTAATAAAAGGATTACGTATTTTGTGTTTCTTCTGTCCTTTATGTTGTTTGGATCCAAAAACAACTATTTTTATTCTCCAGTTTATTAACATTTCAGTGGAAGCCTCGCTACACAAAATAAGTGTGGTGCTATTTACAGTATGTAAATGTGCAAAAGAAACTGTTCCCATAATGTATTCTTTCCAGAAATGATTCACATGCAATTTGGATTTATCCCACTATGTTTGTGGAGGGGGAAAAAGAAGGCATTTACATAGGAACACAAAAAAAAAACAAGTGTGATCTACAGATGCATACGGAAATATTAAAGGGATAAACCTGAAGAAATGAGTGGAGAAACAAACCAAATGGTTTGATAAATATCAAAATCCTGTGAAACGAATGCTCTGGTCTTCTGCGGACAAGGAGCACGGAAGTTGTTCTTGAAGTTGTTGGCTTGTGGTGGCTCAACACCTCATTAAGACACTTAATGTTGGTTTTCCCTTTAATTTGTAAACCATGTGAATATCTGACCTTTAAAAAAAAACAAAAAAACTTAATACTCACATGAAATTCAGGAGGGTGACTAAATGCTGAGTTAGGTCTTTTGTGCCAGTGTGAAGCCAACTCCAGATCAATTAAATATTCTACTTATGAGTTATTCTGTGTATGAGTAGGCAGTAGTGGTGATTCACAGGCCATGTGAAAAGTGTGCTCATGATTATTTAATATTACTGTAATAATGACACGTTCAAAGGTTAAAGAAATACTCAGTTTCTCTGGATTGTAATCAGCCTTCTTTTTTTTTTTTTTTTTTTACAATAAATGTATTAGTAATCCAAAGGAGGATTTCAGTTTAGGGTTTAAACCTGTTGTGAAGTCATAACCAACCGTGTAGCTGATTTCAGACCTGACAACCTATACATTAATTTAAATTGTACCAAACACAAAGAAATAATGTTCAGTTTATACATATACTAAACTAGTGTATTTATATAAAATTAGCAAAAATTTCAATCTAGAAAAAAAAAAATCACATTGCTGACAACTGATCATGCAGATTTGGCAAAAGTAACATGGATTAGAAAACAATCATTACACATTGCTTTGTCAAGAATCCACAACAGGCAGAAACAATCTGTTTGTGATGATCCACCACAGGAAAGTGGTGCATCTTTCCATTTGAAGTCTCACTTTGAAATGAAAAGAACAAGTCTTCGTGTCCAGAACACCTTTCATTGACATGACAGTAAGCCAAAAAGCCCTGAATTCAGAAAGTTTCCTTGGTGACTAACTGATGTGCAGCATTCATCATAGTTACACAACCAAATATAGACTCACTGTGAGCTGCAAGTTAAACTATCCACACTGACACTGCCTGATTACTAAATATACATCAATTCCGTGGTCCATACTGGACAGGCCCCATGATTTCAAACCAAGTACTAGTGATGTGGCGGCTGATACAATGATTTCATGTTTAAAAGTGTGTGTGCGTGTGTGTATAATGTGCACTTAAATTATCTAGAAACACAAAGAGTGTATAATCATGTAGAAGAAAAATAATTCAACTTTAAAGTGGAAAAACAAAAGCTCAGGTGAAGGAATGATTATTCAGACTGAATAACGCATAAGAACAGTGCTTTCAGTGAGATGATCCAGCAAAGACCACATTATCACCCATTTTCTCAACTTATGGAGCAATAAAATAAATGATGAAGATGCAACGGTAACCACAGAGGCCTCCTATGCATTATGATGCCGCAGTAGAGTCTTTCTGTCACACATCAAGTCCACTTCCACTTTGGAGAATGGCTCACAGCTGCGACGGGGCCGGAGTGTGCTGTGACATGTTGACCTCTGTCCCAGTTCAGGGATGGATCATCAGAAGTTACATTTGTAGACTGAAGACGTCTAACGGGCTGTTACACTGCAAGGTGTAAATAATGGATGCCTGACTTACAGATAAATAGAACTATGGATACATTTACTGTTACCATGTCACACACTTGCCAGCTGTGCTGCATTTGTTGCAGTAAAACAAAAATCTTTAAGTTCACTCAGGTTTCATGAAACCGCTTTCTAAATCATCTAAACTTCCTGGTGATACGAATTGAAAAGCGGGAGTCTGAACTACTTTACTTTGGGTTTCTGTAAGAGTAGATCCACACATTGTCCTGATATCTACCAAGACATTAAAGTTAATGGAGTGTGATTCATAGGGAGTTATCTGGACAGCGTGTGGATCTTTTGACTGATTTCTGCTCTACACTGTTTCTGTGACACTAGATGCGTTTAGGGTGTAGGCACAAGTTCAGCCAGGTTCTTGCTCCTCTGAAGAACCCACCTTTGTGGGCACCATCCTTCAAAGGATCCAGCCTTGAGATGGGACACAGATCTAGTCAGCTTAGCCTGGAAAATGTGGCCTAGGTGGGCCGAGTACTAGTCAGAGTCTGATCCTGAGTTGTCTTCAGGCGCATCACAGAGAGTTTCTTCAAGCGGTGCTAAGGTCCCGTCGGGCCTGACCCCCATTGGCCGGATCACATTCTGCCTGTGGACACAAAAAGAAAAAAATCAGAGATGCCCACTTGGTAGATGGAAAGGGGTTAGATCAGAAGGTTGCCACATAGCAAACATATGAATGGACATGACTAACTTTAAACAAACTTATAGACAAAACCTGAACTCTGTTCAGGACCCTTTGTATCCACAGACAGTCTTAAGAGGGCTTTCATTTGTACATCTTTACTCTCTTACATCCAAAACTCGAGGACCCTCACCAGAGAACCCCCCGCTTCATGGATGCTCGCCCTTGTCTGGCCATCCTCTCTCCCCTCCTCTCCTGTGGGAGTTTAATTACAGGATCAGCGCTCGGACTAATCTCCTCAAAACCACGGCTGCCCCTTCATCCTAATCCAATTATACCTGCACTGTGTGGCACCACTTCCTCTAAGATGATTTATCAGCGAATTATCCTTAAAAGATTTAAAAAGGATCCATTTGCATTCATTTGAAAGAGATTCAAATATAAATGTCCATGTAATTCCTACTGATTCCTGCAATTAAACTGAACGTATCCTGGGAAATCTACAGGTTAAGTTCTTTAAATGGGGGATGGAGGAGACGTGGTGAAATCTGAAAACATTTCAGCATCTATTCAGTGATAAAACCTGTAGAGAGCGCCACCAGCCTCACAGCCTTATGTCACTAGTCAAACTTAGCAGGTAAACTGAGGACTAACAAGACAAAATAAACAAAAACATGTAACATCACCTCTCCCAATTAGAGTAAATAACAAAAACAAACCCTCCTCTCCTCCTCAGCAGTGGACCGGGGGGTCTGGCAGATGTAAGATGTGGTGGGTGCAGAATATGTGCTAATTGGAGGACCTGTTAAGCAGTTAGGGGAGCGCATTCTTGCAGGACTCTGAACGATCTCCTTAGAGCCTGTACTGAGGAAGCACCTCTCCTTCATAATCACATCAGAGAAAGAGAAGAAAGAGGAAAGGAATCTTCCTCTTGTGGGCACACGCGCCTCATTACAGCTCAACCCCCTCTTTGGCTTAACAATGAGGTCAGCTTTCTTACGTCTGCTCATTTGTTCAAACGTGTCTCTTCCTCTTCGGCCACGTTCCACCCAAATTGCTTTGTCTAGTTGTGCCTCTGTCTCAGTCCACTCCCTGTCTGGCCAACGAATGGCTCCTCAAAATGAGAAGAATAAAGTCAGGACACGTGTTATTAAAAACCTGACTGTGGCACATAAAGGAACCAGGGCCGACAAACCGACTGTGCGAGCCAATTAGGTGATAATTAACAAAGCCATGGTAAAGATGCTGCGGTGGCGTGCCGGCAGCCTCCATTTTACTCCAGCTGAATGCTGCGGCGTGCTCAAAGTCCAGGCCTAATTGAAGCTAACGGCAAGAGATTCTTCCTTTGATGAATCGGTTGGCAGGGAGCGAGCTCGTCGTTACCTTTTGAACAGACATGGTGCTTGACGAACATTGGCCTCTGCTCACTAAGGAAAGGTCAACACAAATGCAGCAGGGCTCTTTGCAGAGGAAACAATAAATAATATAATTTGAGCAGGGGAAGCAACAGTTGTTCAAACTGAAAAAGTTCATCATCTTAGTCGAGCCTTTGCAAAAGAACACAAATTATTATTTGTCAAAGACTTCTGTGGCATCATTTTGTTGTTTGTCTGTCTGTTTGTTAGCAGGTATCAGCAGATTTTAATTAAATCTGATGGAAAGTCAGGCAACAGACCCTGCTCCATAAAAACAAACAAGTTATTATCTCTCTGAATACTTCCTAGTTTAGTGTATTCACCTTGACAACTTGTCAAACATGTTGACAAGTTTCTGGGCTTCGTACTCCTTCTGCTCCTCTGTCATCTCTTCGATGGGGTTCGGCATCGGCTCCTCCACATGACCGGTGATGGGGTTGATGCTGGAACAAGCACACAAGCGAGCTTAATGTACAGCTGCAAACGGATTCATTCATTATCAATGCATACACATTAATGTATTGAACAAGTTGACGTCGGATCACCAATTCTTATTATTACTATTATTCTAAGCCCTGTGCAGAGCACTCACAAGGGTTTTGCAGATTTGTATTCCTCTGTGTCTGAGTCTTCTTCATCTTCGGAGTACTCTGTCTCTCCTCTCCCTCCTGCAAGAAGTCCTCGAGCCACCAGGAGCCCCGCTGCATTTCCATATCCCGTGTACTTTAACAGGTTGTCCACTGCAAGACGAGGCCACAGATACACAAGATTGTGAAGAGTTACATATAAATGTTCATGTGCGAGGATGACCCGTGCTGTAGATACAGTTATGTAACGATCATGCATCTGGCAGTGCACTACTTCAACAATTAGACCCAACTAGAGGCACCATTCCTGCTTTTCTGAAGCTCTCCCCAATGTTCCTCCCATGACCCGACCACTGCCTGCCGCCCCCCGCCCCCAGCTCACTCACCGCTTTCTTTGCAGAGGACAAAGAGAAACTCTGCAGCAGTCTGCTTCACACCCATGTCGACATGTGTCATAAGGCGGACCAACTTGTTTCTGACGGCAGTGCCAATCTCCGGCCTGATCTTCACATCTTTCAGTGGGGGAAGTACCTGAAGATGCAGGGATTATAATTAGTTCAGATTATATTTTCTGTTTTTCTGTCACTATAACCTAGTCACTGACTAATACATAACACACACACACACGTTTGGGATCCTGGTAAGACTTCAGTAGTTTACTCAGACACTTCCACAGGGAAGGCAGGGCACAAAAAGTGTCAAAGTTTATTATCTCTGTTTAAATCCGTTGGCAACTTCTGTACCTGAGCTTTGATATAAATGCGGATCTCCCTGTGTTTCCTGGATCCTTCAGTCAAGAGGCTGAGCACCGGAGTCAAACCCTCTTTGTAGTTGGAGCCCTGCTTGAGGTGACACAAACCACAGACACTTCACAAGCTGAAACAATGGATAGATTTTATTCAGCAGTGCACTCGGGGGTAAACATGAAGGATCATGAGATAAAGGCGGGATGGGTAGATGAGAACCTGAACGACATGTGGTAAAGCTTTGTGTGTAGTCATTTGCCGTTTTTCCATTACCAGCTCAACTCGCCTCGCCCGTCCTCCGTTTTCCATTGCAGATATTACCCAGAGATAGTGCCACACACAACTGCCGCGATGTAATGTTCAACGCAACACACACACCAGCGACCCTCACACAGCTTTCTCTTGATTTAAGTTAAAATGTTTCAGCATTACTTAGAATGTAAAGACAGATCAAAACCTTACAGCTGTGTTTTCCTCTGCCATTGCTGCTGCAGTGGTCTGTGTGATGGTGGGACCAGAGGGCTCTGTGAGCGGCGGCTAGCCGGCTTCCTCCCGCAGGTTGGTGCAGGCTTCCACCGCCGCCACTTGCGGGGCTCCTCAACTCCGAAAACTTTGAAGCACATTTTTGTTCCGCCATCACTTTTCGTAAAACTATGAATATTCAAAATCTACACAGCTGATTTCTCACCTCAAAACTTGGAAGTGGATTTAGTGATGAAATAACATACGAAAATTGTAAAATATAAAAGTTTCTGTTGATGGCCTCTGTCCGGCGTGCGCAATGATGATGCAGTGAATAGTGATGATTCTCTCTGACCAATCAGTAGTCTGCCGTGTTTTTACACCACATTTTAGTATCGCTTCAGCTCGCTTGGAACCTCGACAGAGGTGATACGAAAAAAAGTACCTTGAAGCAGGTACAACTTTTCCACAATGGAAAAGCAAAAAAAAGCGAGTAGAGTCGAGGCGAGTCGAGCTGGTACCGTGCAGTGGAAAAGGGGCTATTGTGAGTGTATTTTTGTTCTGCTAGGCCAAGGATCAGATCTGAGGGATTCCAGGTTCAGCACTACTTTCAAATATCAAATAGATGCAAAATATCACAAAGATGTGTTTCTTTTCTTACTGCGTGTGAGTTTGCCTATGTTGGCAATAATGTTTAATTTAAGCTCGAAATATGTCTGTTATGTCCTAAAGTGTCAATTACAACAGATTTAAATGTACTCACTAATGTCTACTTCAACATTCTTACCCCTCTTCAACCACACATAAAGAGATACAAATAATCAGTAACTTTCAGTGTGAAAACGATGCAGCCAGTCCTCTCTATATTCGCTGCAGAGGATGAACTTTACCTTGTCGATCCTTTTCTCCATGAAGTCCAGTAACACCTGGACTGCATCCATGTTTTTACCACCATATTTCTCTAGTCCTCCCTGGACGGGCACGTCGATTAGCTTGTCAAGGCAGGACACAGGCAGGTTATTCAATAGATTGACGGCATGGCTGGAGACAAAACAAACAAAAAAAACCCCAAGGTTTTAATTACTTAGATCTTAGATCAAAAGAGACATTTACAGTCCAGTAAATAAAAAGGGACACATCAAATCATCCGTTTCTGAGATGCAACTGCCAAAAAGTCTAAATGAGGTTTAAAAACTGAATAAGATGATTAATAGATGAAAGCTTTGGAACATTTTGCCTGAGACAGTCAAGTCAAGTACCCCTCATGGCAAAGGACCAATCACCTCTGGTTTTAATCTACATTTTGGAACAGCTGATGGGGAGCTTTTAAGTGTCAAATCATTTCATCTAACTCCCATCTGTGCCACATTGTTAATTCTACACAAATCTATGTTGATATTTATGTCATTCACAACTGAACTGAACTGTAATTTGTGCTCTGTTTACCATCCCCAGCTGTGTATAGTAAACAGAAAATTATACCTCCTTTACTGTAGGTAGATTCATCAAGCATGCCTAGAGTTTTAAATTTGTATCTAATTAGTATGATTTTACATTAATTTTGTCTGAGAAGACCGGCAATAGCCAATTAGAGGCAAACAATGAGAAAGATTTTGGATGAGAGAGAGAACTTGTAAAATGGTGAATTTGAAAAGACAAAAAGCTGTTGTCTGGGCAGCACCGATGGAGGACAAAGCTGGCTGATTATGGTGAATACTGCCAAGGCCAAATATCAATATTGTATTTTAGTGTGCCGTGTTTTATACTGTGAGGATGTTTGTGAAATGTCTTTTAAAGACACTCCACAATTTCATTTAGATGAGATCTGTCACATTCCAACAAACTACAGCAGAGTTATGTTGATCTGTTGATCAAAAGGGGCCAAACTCCCAGTTGAGCCACGACTTGACAGGTCAAGAGGAACATCAGTCACTTATACAAGACATTGTTTAAATTTCAGTTAATGGCCACAGATTCTTGGCATTCCTGCATTAAATTAGCATGAGAAGCAAATACTGCTGCAGTATTACGACAGCTAAGAACATTTAGAAGATGAAACACCCAACGAGGCTCCAAAGAAATGTCTCTTTCGCCCTTTTTCCCATGATGCTGCAGTGTGCTATCGGACTGTGGGCTATCAGTCTTAATGGCTTAATGTCTCTCACTCACAGCTGCCTGCAGGACACTCAGCCTCTCACATGGGTACAAGTTAGTTTACTGAGTGGTGGCAGCACGTCCTCAATCGGTGTGCTTTTCTATGCAAATCAGTTTCAAATAAAGTTTGGCTCAACAGCAGCATTCGAGTAAAGCACAATCACCAAATATAGAAGTGAGGACACACATTTACATACTGAAAGTCATGAAACATCATGGGACTGGGCCATTTCATGCTTGTTTTGCGTCCTTTCAAAAGTTGCAAAATGGAGAGCGCCTTGTGCACGGTGTATCTTACAAAAATAGAATAAAATATTAAGAGGAGTGAGGAACAGACCTGTGTGCTTCCTCTGTTTTCTCCTCCGTCTCAGTCTTCAGCATCAACAGATGACGCAGGATGGCAGCGATGAGTCGGAACTGGTGGTCGTCCTCCTATAAAATCAAGGATGTACAGAAACGTTAATTCCAAGCAGACAGTTTTATTGTTAAGAGGTAAAGCAAAACAATAAGGGAAACAAAAAAGACTTAAGCTAAAAGGTCAGGAACCTGGTAGCAAAGAGTATTTTCAAAAATAGACATGTTAACAGATTATGTTTGTCAATTTACAGAATACAAAGTGAGTTTAAAGTAGAAAAATCAATCACCCTTTGCCTTCAAAAAAGCATCAATTCTTCTAAATAAAGGGAGGTATTTTGTAGGCAGGTGCATGATTAAACAATTATACTAAACAGCTGCTAATGATCGTAAATTCAATATGTAGGTTGAAACACAATCATTAACGGACACAGAAACTGGGTGAGGAACAGCCAAACTCAGCTAACAAGGTGAGGCTGCTGAAGCAGGTTACTGTCAAAAGTCATACACCATGGCAAGTCTGAGCACAGCAACAAGACACAAGGTAGTTATTCTGCATCAGCAAGCTCTCTCCCAGACAGACAGGGGTTTCCAGATGTGCTGTCCAAGCTCTTTTGAAGAAGCACAAAGAAACAGGCAAAGTTTAGGGTTAGGGTTGTTTGTTGGTCGTCCAAAGAAACAGCAGATGAAAGACACATCATGCTTACTTCCCTTCGTAATCACAAGATGTCCAGCAGTGCCATCAGCTCAGAAATGGCTGAAAACAGTCGAGTTCTAACTTTGTGCAAGTGTACATAGAAGAACTGATGAATGTTTTGAAGGCAAAAGTTGGTCACACCAAATACTGATCTGATTTAGATTTTTCTTTTGTAAAATAATTTTTCTTTTTGTGAATTGAATATATATACATACACACAAACAGATTATTACTTAAAATACATTCTTAGGCCCCGATCATTACATTACATTTATTCATTTAGCTGACGCTTTTTCCATTGCGACTTACAATTGCTATACATGTCAGAGGTCGCACACCTCTGGAGCAACTCGGTGGTTGCCTAGCAACATTAAAAAACCAAAAAAACAAACAAAAAAAACACGCACTGATCTTTTCCAAATTCAACCACAAAAGGATGTGTGCCTCGCGTTTTCGAACCTGCAACGCGCTTTCTGTCTGATTGGGGCCAAACTACATAATAACGTTATCATAATCGACATCAATGACAATAAAATATAATATATACTTCACACATTGGTCCAAAAGCACATATAGCAAATATCATCCTATTTCACTCAGAGGATGACAAAGCTTTTTGGCCTGTAGTAGTGTTGTAGTAGTAAAGATCACCCAAACCGAGACCAAGTCAAGACCAAGACCAGAGTTTATCGAAAATGAGTCGAGACCAAGACCGAAGGAGGGCGAGACCGAGTCAAGACCAAGAGCAGTCCCCTGCATTACATGACACACAATAAAATGTGGAATGAGATCATAGGTACTTCTCAAACTGATCTGAAAGATCAGCATTCCTATTAAAACACCCATACAAACACTAACAGCTGAAATCAACGTAAGCTTCTTAATTCAACGCGCCTTTTCCATGCTTACCATCGCTGGGAGGGGAGACAGTCGTGAACAGTAACAACCCCTTTTTTATCAGGGTTATTGGTTGCATTTTAAAGCAATAAGTTTTACATCCATCAAAGTTAGGATGTTAACAAATAAATCAAACAATGCAAAAGCAATTTATTGATATTCCCAAAGTTACGGTCTTGACTGATCTTAAAATAAAATCCCGAGTCCTCAATGTCTGAGACTGAGACAAGACCGAGTACAAATGCAGTCGAGTCAGAGACGAGACCAAGACCATCAAAAAGTGATATTAAGAACGGTCTTAAGACCAAGACTGGTCTCAAGTACTACAACACTAGTGTGAAGTCTATGAAAGAGAGAGCTAGTGTGTCAAATAAACGCAGTCTAGTGCTGGACGGTGATATTGTGTAAAGAGATATTACATTTTGTCACACAAATAAAAACACAAGTGTAAATAATAACACACGGTGACTCACTATCACACTCTTCCTACTATGACCAGTCATAATGTCTGTTGGGAAAAAGACCTATGCTGAATGGGATATCAGTGACTGATCTGGTTTAAAAGTGAAACACTGTTTAGTACACAACTTGAATGTTAAAGTAAAAAAGAGAAGGGTATTTTGGTGCGGGCAACCTGTTACTCCTGTATTTTGTGATCAGGTGGAACTATTTCAAAACCAGTCGAAGATGGACGCCTATAAAAGACTTTTATGAAACTGACTTCAAACTGTAAAAAAAGACGTCATTGGTGGATAAGATCGGAAAATACGCAAAAGCTCTGTGTTGATGTATAGGCCCTCCCTAAATGAACCTTCTCTGTAGACATTTTGAGTGGTTGCAGAGTATTGTGCTGTGCTGAATGTTTACATTTCAGGGATTCAGCTGACGTGCTAAGAGCCACTGACGGTAAATTGCTGAGTGTGTTGCTCAGAAAGACGTAAAGAGGCCAAATGGTTAGTGAGAGATATCATTTGGAAGTTGTGGGGGGAAAAGTTGTATTATCTCTGTGGTCCAGGGCAGACTAATCTGTAACTGAGCAAATGACTGAGCCATAAATATTTACGTTTCTGGTGATGCGCAGCTGACCTACTCCCAACCCTTTCATACATACTTGCAACTTGAACCTTTACTCTACAATACACTCACCTCACCACCAGCCTCAGACAGTGTGACGTTGAACAAGGCTTTGAGTGCTTCCATTGTTCGCTCATTGTCCTCTGCAGGCATGGGCAGGGCCTGCGGCTCTGGAGGGGCAGCTTCATAGGGACCGACCCAGCGCACATCAAGGGTGTGCTCCAGCACCTCTGTCAGCAGTCTCACAGCATGCAATTCTCTCCTCAAAACCCCTCTCACATCAGGTCTCAATGCAGACAGCAGGAAGAGAAGGCGAAGTGTGAACAGGCCCACCTCGTGGTGCCATGTGCGGGCCGTACGCAGGGTGGCACACAGGCCATGAGCCAGCTGCACGTCTACACTAACCTTCTGAGCTGCAGGACTGTTGTACACCACATTGCATAGGCACTTCAAGGCCTCCACCACCACCCTCTCCTCCTCCTCTGACTGGGCGTCTTCCTGAGAGCTTTTCTCGTTATCACATCCTTCCTCTCCAGCATGCAGCCCCGCCATCCTTCCCAGGATCAGCATGCCCTCCTTGGTGGCTACAGGTGCGAGGATACGCTTGTCTCTGGACAGGATGCGGAGTGTCTCCAGACATGTCTTCTGACAGCTGGGCTGCGCCTGCCTCCCAAGTACTGCCAACACACTCTGACACAGTTTCTATGACACAGAGTGAAAGGATTACACATTATAGCATATCTGAGGTACCTGGATCGTCTAATAGCCAGCTGCTCCCATAAGTAGTACTTACACTCCGCAGGGTTTCTTCCTTTTGGTCAAAGGCGAAGGTGCGACTGTTCTGAAACAGATAAGATGCTCATTATTGACACTAAACAACTCAGTCTGACATGTTACAGACATATTAAACACGCCGTATTACAAATAAACCCCAACCTCTTTGAAACGCATTTAAATGTCATTAGATTTCCTAGAGACCTCCAAGAAATATCTGTTTGCAAATATTTCTGAATAACTTAGCAACATGGTTTGTGAGCAGGCAGTAGTAGCATTATCAGCATTACGTACGCAAACAACGCATCAACGCCCTGTTTGCCTCATACATAGGTTTGGGTATGATATGTTTAACGATGCACCATTAGAAATCATATGACAGTACCAACATAGTTGCTTCGTTGGCTAGTAGCCGACTCAAAGCTAGCAGCTTTGCTAGCTAGCGACGTTAGCGCCGCGGTTTGTTGATGTAAAGACGAGCAGAGCCGCGACTCACCTCCTGATTATACTGCTTCAGAAGCTTCTCGACTTCCTCTTCGTTGGCACTTTCAAGTCGCAACAACATATTATTTAAATCCATGGCTGATATCTGAAGAAAGCAGATGGTTTGCTTGATTTTGACGTGACCAATGGGTGCTGTGCAGCTAGCTAGCTAGCTGGCCGGCTAGCTGAGTGTGTCTGTCTGTCTGTCTGTGTGTGTGTGTGTGTGTGTGTGTGTGTTACCGTCAGGTCTGCTGCTGTCAACAGGGAAACTCCCCTGACTGTCTCCGCCTGATGGGCTGTCCTGCTCTCCGCTGGGTTTATTCAGTACTGTACACATTTACAGTTTCAAGGCAGGAAACATGGTGAATCTGCATGTGTAAATGGCATCGGTACCTAACTTTTGGGATATTGTGAAAAAGACCACACAAACAAGGGACATGACAATGAATGAATTAGTATGCAGGTATAATAAATAATAATGCAGTACAATATTTTACACACAGAGACATATTAATCTAAGGATGAAAGTCAGAGATTCTGTCACAGAATATTTTCCTGTCAGTGGTTTGGGTTGCCACAGTCACTTCTGGTGTTAAAAGCTTATGTACATGTACTTATTCCTCTGTGACAGTCAGATCTGTTACTGAGAAATTAACAAACATTTAATTTGTTTAACTCAGGAATATCATGTTCAGCCTGTGAACTGTGAATACTGACTATGTGGCCTAAAAAAAAAAAATCTGGAGTTCTACATTTAAGCTTATTTGAATAAAAATATATATACCTATATAACTGGAGGTGTTGTTGGTACATCTGTGAGGCATCACAGATTAAGATGTTTATTCTTATTTCAGGTTTTATGAGGCAGTAAATAGATTCTTCAGATTTACCACAATTGTCTCATTGTTTTTATAAATTTAGAAAAAGACTATATTGTTTATGACACATGATACACAGCTTTCATACAGACTCTGAAACTTACCTCAAATTAACAACCTCCAGTGTTTGAACTTTAGTTGTTTCTGTGTGGAGCTTGCGTGTTTTCTACACGTCTGATTAATCCTCCTCTTCAACAGACCAACCGAAGACTTGCACATGGAGAATCTAAACTATCAATAACTTCGAGTGTGTCTGTTTTCCTTCTGATAAATGTTCCCACAGGTCAGTTTCCCTTCATGACCCTTAACAATGGAAAATGAATCTCAGCATGTGAAATTTGTTTGTAATACGTGTTTTTATTCATCCATTGACACATTTTTACACTATTCATGTATAAATACTGTAAGTTTCAAAACAATAAACCTACTTTGAAACTTGAAATTATATTATAATCTTATATTTTCAGATTCATCTCTTGATTCTTTCTTTATTAGTTTAATTCAAAGAAATTCTAGCTCATAGAAGACGTATACTAGAATTAACTAACTAGTTTTTAAAAATAAAAACGGAGGTACTTGTTAAAACCACTGTTGAAGCAGTGTTTTGGTGACATCAGAGATAAAACCTTCTGGTCTGGCAGCACGTTTTTCACAGCTGACAGTGACGTCCTTGTGCACACCCGGGATCACAAATCTTCCTCTGAAATCTTCAGCGGATATTGATATTGACACTCAGGTCAGGTGATTAAATCACAATAGTGGGTTGCCATTTTTTCTGCATTCAAAGTCTCTGTTGTGAATCCTGGAGGATTTCAGAGAGACACAACACAGAAGATCTATGTTCCAATAAATACAAACCTCGGTAGAGGTCAGAGGTCAAAGGTTACGGGACTGAGGTGCAATGACCCCAGCACAGCAGGACATTCTCTCTATAGAAATGTAATTCTTTCTGTAGTGTGGCCCATGTGCTACTGGCCCAACCCCCCACAGTGTTGCCACTGCCGAGGTAAAAATCAGCTCAGACGACCTCCAAAATGTTTTTCCTTTTCCAACATCAAAATTTAGACTTGGAACATAGGGAAGGCTAACAAGTAGTAGTTAATCAGTAGTTATAAAGTAACCATATTTGGTAAATTAGTGAAATCTACCTTAAATAATTCTATTAAAAACTTGATCAATAATGGCTGTGTTAGGCATAGAAAGTGTAGAAAGAGCAGGACCTATCAATGTCAGTTAAGACTTTGCTCCAGCGCTAACAATGATGGTTATAATAATATAATTAATATGTGGACATTTTTGTGCATGATTTTGTTCACTTTTACACAGAAAGAATGAAGAAAGAGTTGAAAAAGAAGACGATTTGACAAAGATGACTCACTGTTTTAAATTGTGAAATTATTTATGTGGCAACATTTTTCCCACATACAAATCAGTTTCAACTGTGATAGTTTAACAGTCACCACAGACGGTTTCCAGTGCTTTTATTTACAGAAAGTGACTAGACTTCATGTTACTGTACACTTTGATATTTTCCCTTTTTATAAATACCCATAGGGTAATAGGTCCTCGGTAGCCTTGAGTGCATTATAAAACACACAACCCTAAGTTAATGCGTACTAACCATACAAAACAGAGAACAAAGTACCAATTGTAACATAGAAAATAAAGGATACACCATGTTACAAAGTTACAGAAAATACATACTATATATATATATGTACATATATATATATATATATATATATATATATATATATATATATAGATATAGATATAGATATATAGTACATTGTCACAGGAAAACAGCAAAAAGGCTTGCGACAGGATACAATTCTTTTTGAGTCACAGCATTCAATCATTAAAAAAAATTATCCAAGATGTAGACACCTTAACAATAACAAGGTCTTTCATGAGTTTATATGACGTTGTATGTTTTGGCTTTTTGCCACTGTTTCAAAAGAACGTTAAGGCAGAACAGTTCATCCACATCCTACAGCAAACAAATCTGCTGCGACGAGCCCATGACAAGATGCTGCACAGTGCTGAGCAAGAAGAGGAGACAGCAGTGTCACTGAGATTGTACTGGTGTCAGTAAAAGCTTACAGCACACTGATCCGCCAGTCACTGACAAAACCGACTGAGAGTTGGTCGGATGATCTGTGTGCTGACTTGTGAGACTGACGAGGGAAACTCTGGCAGAGGTGTACATTCCTTAAAACAAAGGCACAGCTTGGCAGCAGCATTGCACTCTTAAAATGATTTTGCTGCAAGTTTTGACAATCTATATGATTTTAATTGATTTTTTTTCTTCCAGCAGTGAGCAAAAACATCAATTGTTGAAATTTCATTAAACCTCAGCACATATTACACCACAATCATCAGAGTGGTTAATGTCATGAGTCTTTTCAAATTGTCAGTACGTCCATACCATGATTCCTATTACCTTGCATTGGTACTCTCCACCCTCTGCTCCTCCTTTTCTGATATACTTGATTGGAAGTGTTCAGAGACTTTGCATCCACCAGTTTGGCAGGCCTGCAGCTTGTATACAGCTATCCAAAGAAGAGTTTGCAGGCTATTTTGCCCAGCCTGTGGTAGCCTCTCCGTTGATGTAGGCAAAGCCGGGGAAATGTTGCGAGTGTTCGTACTCTGAGTTCCTGCGCGGGCCCAGGGGAGAGTACATGTCCCCAGAAGTGGCATAGCGGGATGAATGCATAGGTGGGCTGGTGTAACAGCTGTTAGCTGGCGACACATCTGGCCACCGGGGGGCGACGGGTGCAGGGTGCAACCGAGGTGTGCTGCCCATCAAGCACGGCTCCATTCGAGACATCTGGCCGTTGAGCTGGTACTGTGGAAGAGAAGAAGAGGAAACAAGTTCTGTTATCTATTGAGAGAAGCATACAGTGAACAGATAGAGCCCCAACTAACAATTATTTTTATTACCAATTCAGCACATTTGTGATGGTAGAACCATTAAATGTTTGGTAATCTCATTGAAAAGTGAAGTTTCTGTGAATTGACTTATCAATTAATCGACCAATTGTTTCAGCTCAGGGTTAGATCATTGCAAACTTTGTAGAATATGTAAGGGACTTCATGCAAAAAACTTTACAACAAGTTTGCCAAAAGAGCTCAAGGAGCAGACGCCTGTAAAGTCTACATTAATATTAAGAAATTCAGATCAGATTTGGCAGACAATTTTAGTTTTAAGTATCAGAATTTTGGACATGAACATCACTTATTGCTGAGCGGTTACTGATCAATACAGGGCGTTCATTATGTGTTTTCTCTCTAATTTCCATAGCTAGGACTTCAGAAATACTGAGGTCATGAGTCCAAGTTCCCCAAATGCACCACTTACACCTTTGGAAATTTTGAGTTGACACCAAAAAATAAGATTTAATTTTTGTCTTATTTTATTTCATAATTATCTTCTTCTATCATTCTATCTTCTTTAATTATTCAGTTTACTGTTAAATGATACAGTCTTTGAATTTTAATTCCTAGAAAGGAATAAGAAGGAAAAAAGGATTATTGGCTTTCTGGTGGAGGGTTATATGAGAAGATTGATACCAGTCTCAAATCTGTCTGTTAAATATGAAGCTGCAGCCAGCAGCCAGTTAGTTTAGCTTAGCATAAAGACTAGAAACAGCTAGCATGGCTCTGTCCCAGGGAATAAATAGTCTGACACAAACCCTCAGTAAAACAGTGTTTTCACACTGTTGGTTTTTGTGTAGATTAAACAAACAAGATATGACATGTTAATTACCGAGCTTCAGAGGTGCTGGTAGGCAGACTTTGTTACCTTTGGACAGAGCCAAGCTAACTGTTTCCAGTCTTCTTTGCGAAGCTAAGCTAATCAGCCGCTGGCTGTAGCTTCATATTTATCGACAGATTTGAGAGGGGTATCAATCTTCTCTTATTACTGTATAAATAAGTGCTTTCCCCAAACTATTCCTTTAATGAAGGTACGCGGCCCTCTCCACAACGCCAGGAATAAACTGGTGGGGAAATATCAATCATTTATTTACTAATTAGCCTAAAAGTAGTCAAATTTTAACATACTGACTCAAAAAACCTGAAAAGGACAGCTTGGAATCAGCCTATAAAATGCCCACCATGTGTAACTTTTTAATTGTAGTATATAAACATTCACAGAGAACATGACCTAAGTGTCCCTAAAGGTAGCTTTAGCCCTGCTGATATCATTTTTGATGCTGTGCTAGCCCTGTAGCGTTGGGTGTGAACCTGACCCTGCAGATTGTAATTTCCTGTCAGGGGAAATTGCTTCACAAGTTGTACAAAATAGAAAATGAAGCCACTTAAGAAAATTAGACATCAGCTGAA